TATATGTGGGTTCTGGGTTGCAGTTTGGGCACTTGCCTCTAAAAGGTTCACCATCACTGCTTTAAAGTATGCACTAATAAAACAATAAATAAAAAAACATAGTAATGTAACATATTAATAATCACAGAAAGTGACTTTATGAGATCTCTGTACTGTCTTAATAATTTTTATGTAACTGTGGACTATTTGAAAATTAAAAGCTTTTTAAAAAGAAAATCAAGGGCCAGGGATGTAGCTCAGTGGTGCCGCCACCTTCCTTGCAAGCTCAAGGTCCCTCGTTTTATCCCCAGTACAAAAAAAGAAAAAAGAAAAAAAAAGACATATAAGAGTACTCTTTAGTTTCCCCAAAATGCTGTTTAAAAGATATTTCAGTGTATTTCTTGTCCATTGCCTGAAGTCGGCTATCTGGAAATACTCCGTACAATGATACACAGAAAGATGATGAAAAAAAATCTATTATCTGGGGCCGACAATCCTTATTTAAAACAATGGATAACTTCTCCATGCATTTCTCTTCCTGTACATAACTCCAAGAGAGAGAGAGAGAGAGAGAGAGAGAGAAATAGAACTAATTCTATCACAATAAATAAAAATAAAGTAAATATAAAAATAACTACCTTGGCAGAGAAGGGAAATACCCAGAAACAAGAAAGGCTAAAGCTAACAACAAGATACCACACAGAGCCGGGTATTTAGCTCAGTGGTGCTGCACCTGCCTCGCAAGCACAAGGTCTGAGTTTGATCCCCAGTACCACACCTCCCCAAAAGATAACATGTTATCACAAGAGCTGCCTCCATGTCCCACACCACAAACAAGTCAAAAGCAGTGCTTGCATAGGAAGGGGGAGGTTACAGATAGCAAGACAATGCAGGGAAGTAGGAGAAATGCTTCTGTATATGTAAGTTTTTTTTTTGTTTTTTTGGTACCAGGCAGTGAACTCAGGACTTTGTGCTTACGAGGCAGGTGGCAGAAACACTGAGCTAAATCCTCGGCCCTATGCAAGTATTCTTTAAGAAAGGTGTCTTTTCTATAGGACACTAATAACATAACTCAAAAAGCACTCTTAATAATTAAACATACAATAGTCATATTTTAGAACTCAGAAGAGCATAATATTTTTTACCAGCAGCAAATGTTAAAACACTGAATTAATGTCTTTGCAATTCTGTGGCAGAAGAGATTCCCTGTTCCAAGACAGGTAGAATTATCATCACGGTAACAGCCATATTACCAAAAGCAATCTACTAATTTAAATTAAATTAAACTTTTATTAAAATACCAACATTCTACACAGAACTGGAAAACACAATCCTAAAATGTATATGAAGCAGACAAGATCTGGAATAGCCAAAGTAATTCTGAACAAAAGGTGCCAAGTGGATGGAGGGCATTTTAATTCCAGATTTTAAATTATACTATGAAGCTATAGTAACAAAAACAGCAAGGTATGGGCACAAAAACAGACATATTGACCAATGGAACAGAAGACACAAAAATAAGCCCATATACTTTTAGCCATCTGATCTTTGACAAAGAAGTTAAAAACATATGCTGGAAAAAGCACAGCCTCTTTAACAAATGGCACTGGGAAAACTGGGTATCCATATGCAGAAGACTCAAACTGGACTCATTCCTCTCACCCTGTATGAACATGTTCTTATCACACCTTGAAGCACGGGTGGTACATGTATGATGGTCCCATCAGGTTTGCTACTGGTAGTGCCAATCTAACCACTTTTATCGGTCATTTTACTAATAAAATTACTAAAATTCAGTGGTTCAAGCTGGTGGGAACATAACACATTCAAAGAAGAGCTGCCCGGCAACAAGACATACTGTATTTCCCTGAAAATAAGACCAGTCCTGTATTAATTTTTTGCTCAAAAAGACACAATAGGCTTATTTTCAAAAGATCTATTTTTTTCATGTACAACAATATACAATTACTCATGGATGGAAATCTGTATTTATTCCATGTTATCTTCCTCCAGAACATCCGAAGTCCTCCAAACCTGAATTCCAGCCTGAATTTGTTCCCACTCCATTTCCTATGGAATCACTGGCCCCAGTCTCTCATGTCCAGCAACAGACCGCCCCTTAAATACACGTTTCCAATCCGTGAAGCCGCTCGGAGTACACTGGCAACACACCTGACAATGACTTTATACCACGGATTCTTTACCCAAGCCACAACCTTCCGCAGGCTGGACTTCACCGAAGTTGCCACTAACCACGTGTTAAAAGAAAACTTACAGGACAAGAACGGCAACAAGAGGGACGGCAGTTAAGAATGATGGACCACAGGAAAGCAACAAAGAAATGCAGATTCCAAAATTCAGAAAATGCTTACTTCACATGCGCACATTACTGTGTCCACTGTGACACAAGATGTAGTGAATCATGCAGACTCATGTGAGACAAAACTGTGTCCATTATCAAGTGTGTACATTATGTGTATGTTGTGTCTGCTCTGACTGGGCATTCAGCAACAAGCCAAATTCATCTTTTGTATGGGCATTTACCACTTGTCCAAAAGTGCCTGCTTGAGTATTTACACATAATTCTGATTCATGCTATCATTCAAGTATTAATGTCAATAATTTATATTTAATTACTTTTTAAAAAAATTCAGTACATCCTCTGTACTAAATGCATCCATCTGGCTGATGTCTTAACAAGGGCTTATTTTCATGGTGAGGTTTATATTAAGTGTATCCTGAAAAACCACACTAGGGTTTATTTTCTGGCTGGGTGTTACTTTGGAGGAAATACAATACAAATTATGGCTCCTATTATGGATGAGTTAAAACAAAACAAAACAAAAAATCACAGACTTAGGTATAAAATAGAAACACTGAAATTGAAGGAAGTTACAGTAATAAAAACTTTAAAGTATAGTTATATGCAAGGATTTTCTCAACAAAACTCCAACAGCATAAGAGGTTTACACTACGAATCCACAAATGAAATTACTGTATATTAAATTATTAAAAATTCTACACAGCAAAGGAAACAATCAACAGTGAAGAGAACCTTCAAATGGGAAAACAATTTTGACAGCTACTCTACTGCTAGGGGCCTGATAGTTAAAATATATAAAGAACTCAAAAAAAATGAGAGCCACCCCAAGACAACCCAATTAGAAAATGGGGAAATGAACAGATTCTTATCAAAAGCAGCAGCAAAAATGGCCAATAAGTACATGAAAAACTGTTTAACACCTTTACTTATTAGAGAAATGCAAATCAATACTGACATTCTATCTTACTACTGAGAATGACTATTATCAAGAACACAAAACATAACAAATGACAGTAAGGATGTGGGGGTGAAAAGAAACCCTTCTACATTGTTGGTGGGAATGTAAACTAATCAAATATTATGGAAACAATATGGAGAGTCCTGAAAAAAAATCAGAAATTCTACTTGACCTAGACATTCCTTTCCTGGGCAGTTCCCTGAAAGAGTTAAAGACATACGTAGAGACAGAGGCAGCCCTATGTTTACAGCAGTTAAATTCACAATTGCTGAGCTATGGAAACAGCTTAGATGCCCAATCACAGACAAACAGATAACGAAAATGTGCTATATTCATAAAATGAAATATTATTCAGCCATAAAGGACAAATTCAAATTATTTATATAAAAATGGATGGAACTTAAGACAGTGATGTTACATTAAATAGGTCAAATACAGAAAGTTCGTTACTACATTATTTCTCTTGTTAAAAAACCAAAATTATAAAGAGTAAAAACAGAGAGATGGTGGGAAATAGGGAGATAGATTTCTTCAACACAGAGAAGGGAAAACAGTAAAGGATTAGCCCCAAGGGATGGTCAGGAGAAGGAATGGGTGTAGGAAATTATCAAAACAACACATGCACACATGCACATGTGTGCACACACACACACACATCCAAAACTAGTCATTATTGTGTGTTGAAAATATATACCAATTAAATTTTTAAAAATTCTGTGGAGGAAACCATTTTCGACTTAGAACTTGATACCTAATCAAACTATCAATCAAGTACGAAAGTAGAATAAAGACATTCTGAAACACAAGGCTTCCTTCCACAAATGTACTTTGAGGTATATTCTTCTGCAGTTTCTGAAAGACTTGTTTTACTACAGGGTAGAGGAAAGCAAGAAAGATGTCATAGGAGGATATAGTGAAATAGGACCCAAACAGAAGGGCAAAAAAAAAATAAAAGCAAGTCTCAGAAGACAGCTATGGAGCCAATATAGAAAGCAACAAATACAGCACTGCCCGAGTTCACAAACTTAATTCTTTCCATGTTTCTGATGAGAAACAGAATTAGACGAGAACCGAGTCAGATTTTTCTATAAGGTCAACACTGAACCTAACCATTGAATTGGATTCGGTTCTCATCCAATTCAGTTTGCAACCAGAACTGTGGAAAGAATTAAGTCTGTGCGCTGAGGTACTATTTGTACTATGGCAGAAAAACTGAAGGTTCCAGAAGGAAATACCACCAGGAAAAACTGCTAGCTTCTGTCTAGTATCAGCAGTTAGGAGGAGTGAGCTCAGAAAAGTTTAATGGAAAAAAAAAGAAAGAAAGAAAAAGTTCAATGAAAGTAAAATTTTAAGCAATAAAACAAAAAAATAAGTAACTGAAAAAATTAGAAAAATAAGTTCCAGAAAATAAAGTTGTTCAAGAAAATGACAATTTATTCCATTATATAGTCACAATGATTAAAGACAATGAAAATTGATATAAACAAAAAGTATGCCCAAGACCTGTCCTGTAGAGGCACAAGATCCCAACAATGAATGTAACTGTACTGTATCCCTAAAATGTACCAGTAAACTCAAAGCTGAGAAAAAGTGTGCATAGCCATACCAGGACAATAAGAGAAGGTGGGAATAAGGATGGGGAGTGAATCGCTCCTTTTCTATAACAGGAGGTCAGATGTCTATCCAGAAAGCAACGTAAGTACCAATACTAACGGCTTCGGAATACATACAGAGCACAACCAGGAACACTGACATTCCTATAATCCCAGCTACTTCAGAACTTAAGAAAGGAGGATTCCAAGTTCAAGGCCAGCCTAGACAACTTACCAAGACCCTGTCTTAAAATTTAAAAAGGTCTGGGGATATAGCTCATAGCTCAGCACTTCCTGGGTCCAGCATCACCAAAAAAAAAGAAAGAAAGAAAGAAAGAAAAATACTAAAAGCAAAATATAAATTTCCAAACTGAGTGCGTCTGATAAAAGCAAGGTTTCATCTGGCATGGTGATGCAAGCCCATAACCGTAACGCTCAGGAGGCTCAGGTAGGAGGATCACTGAAAGTTCAAGGCCAGTTCAGTGCTACACAGCTGAGTTCAGAGCCAGCCTGAACTAAAATACAAGACCCTATCTCAAAAAAAAAAAAAAAAAAAAAGTGGGCCAGGGATTAGCTCACTGGTGCCGCACCTGCCTCATAAGTGAGAGGTCCTGACTTTAATCCCCAGTACTGAGGAAAGGAAAAAAAAAAATGAGGTTTCATTATCTAGAGCAGTGAGAGAAAACCTTTTAGAGATAAGTGCCCAAACTGTAACCCAAAACTCACTAATTCATCATAAAGGGCCAACACTGCATTAAATGTAAATGCTGAGGGTTTAGTTTAGAAAAAATAACTCCTACATTTTGTCTTAACTGAAAAGCAAGTAAAACATAACGCTATACATTCACCACCTCTAGAGTCATATAATTTATGGACAGCATATATCAGTAAGGGTGAGGTTTTACTGTCTATAATTAGATAATCTATGTAATGTTATATAGTCATAACCCTTTTAGCAATATTTCTGTGCTTCATAGATGAAATGCAAAATACTAATTTAAAAATAAGCTAACATATCTTAACATGAATACAAACTTGATATAAAGAGAAATAGATCTTGAACTATCTTAGAAACTGAAGACTGGTCAAGGGGGAGGAAGAATCAGAAGAAACCAAAGGCCAAACAAGCCAAGTTTCTGTCTGTTCTACTGTTTGGACCTCTATTCTAGACAGGTCCTTCTTCTGTGGTAGAAAGAGAGTGGTGGAGACAGACAAAACTCACAGTGCAAGCTCCTTTATCTCCATGTGAGTCATTCAGCTGGGGATACAGCTCAGTGGTGCTGCCGCCTGCCTGGCAAGCACAGGGACCTGAGTTCAATCCCTGGTACCAAAAAAAAAAAGAGCCTTTCAAATTAGGAATAATGAATAGGAAAAGTTAGCATTCAACAAGTAGAGAGTTTCATATAAACTAAATCAAACAGTAATATTCTCAGTGTTTTTCTCTTTACAACATAGGAAACGAAAAACTAAAAATTTTATGTTTCTTAATTACAAAAAAATAAATAAAATTAAGAACTACTCAAGGAAATAAAAGGGGAAAACTAAAGAGGAAAAACAAAACAAAACAAAACAAAGCACCCAGCCTATTTTCCCATTACTTTATTAGGTACTACAATTTTGCCTACAATTTAATGCTCAGGCAAAGCTGGCAGGAGAAACTTAAAATATAAAGAGCAAAATAAAAGATGCATAATAGAAAGATCTTTTGCAAATAAGAAGGGGATAAAAAAATGCAGGCAGGGGGTGGCTGGGCAGGGAAGGAGATGAAAAAAATAATTGAGATTTGTTTACATACACATACAAACTCCCCACCAGGAATGTAATCATCGTGAATTTTAAACATGTACTCATAAAAAATAAAGAAAGAAAACCATTTCTTATTTTAAAACCCTAAAAAAAGTCAAAGAAATAAAGGTAATATGAAAGGGTAAAAGTCATTTTTATGTACTATAACTAAAATGCCATACTGTACTTTCTTCACAGATGGAGAAGGGAAGAAATTTTACCCAAAATTACATCAGCTTACCTGAGCACCTGTCTCCTTTACCTTGCTGTGCTGCCTCATGTTCTGCTGTTCTTTTCCTGATAAAGGCTTGAACTTCTTCCCACCTTCTCTCAGCTTCCTGGAGTTGAACCTTGATATTTAAAAAGGACACAAGGAAAAATCAGCACAAACAAAAAATTCTCTACTTTGAAAAAAGCATCCTCTACCTGTAGTGTTGTATCTTAAAAGTGCTTAATGCAACTGGTCTCCAAATTTCAAGACAGACAAATACAGTGTCCGACTGCCATTTAAGCCATCCTGACCTCCAAAAGATTAACGGAGAGATGATTTCAGAAAGGCAATATTGGTACTGTTCATTCAAGATAGCTACTACGTGTCAGGCCTGATCTGGCCACGACCTGGTTAATGAATATGTTGTTTCATTCAAAGCTACAGTTTTAGCAGATTCAAAAAGCCGCAGCCCTTGGCAAAAACACACCACTCCTTCGGGTGGCTGGAGACCAGATATAAGCCCTGTCATCTCTGCCTAGTGCTTTCTCCAGGCAGACAGAACACAGAATGGGATGTGACAGAAAAGAGGTAAGACTACAAAGTACAGCACCATTCACCTGATAACATCTACACATCGGCCTTGACTGCTGCATTGTAGAAAACTTCAAAGAAGGTCTCAAGTCTTTTAAGCCCCTTTATCATTTCACAGTCACAGTCTCAAGGTATGACTGTGTCCACGATCTACGTGGGAACGTCTACTTTAGTGAGGTTGTGCTCAAGCTTCACTAACCTGCATCTCCAACCAATTCCCTCCTCAACAAAGGGAGTGTCTTACTCATTTTTTTCATTGCTGACAAAATATCCAACACAAAACTTAAAGGAGGAGAGTTCATTCTACCGAACCTTAGTTTATGCTTCGCTAGCTCCAATGAGGAAAGAGCACGGCAGACGGGCGTGATGGAAGAAAAGCCGCTCACCTCATGGTGGAAAGGAAGCAGAAAGTGAAGGGAGGAGCCAGGAGAGGAGATAACACCCTTCCACACCATGCCCCAGGACCTGCCTCTTCCAACCAGACTTCACTTCCCAACAGGAAGTCAGCTAAAGAGGCCCCATAATTTAAACACCTTCCAAAGTCTTGCCTGTGGGAACATGAGGCTCTTGAGGGGCATCTAGATATCAACCACAAGGAAGAGCAGTCAGCTCTCCTCATTCCACTCAATTGGCGTACAAGCCACGTGAGTGCATCCAGAGCACAAACAAGATGAGAAATGAATCTGCTCCCCCTTCTGTCAGTCTGAGCCACCCTATGTATCTCTTTACAGTATGACTATTTCACAGTAACAAGAGCTACTCTGGTATCTGAAGACAAAGTATGTGATTTTTGTGCACCATGACCTGAGTGCAAGCGACCGGGGCAATACTTAAATCTTACACTCAAGCAAAGGAAAACCCATCTGTTTCAGTGCTAGAAGAAAACAGGTTCTACTGGGCTTACTGAGAAATTCAATTTAATGATGATAAAACACTGCAGGCAGCTAAGTTAGTTAGAAATACTGTAGACACTCAGACAGGGCTGGCCCTCACAGAAGTCGATGCAGAAATAAGAACACTTTGCACAACTGTACATTCTTGGAAGGCCAGACTTCAGAGCAAAGGGAATCTACTATATCTACATACTATCGCTAGGGATGAACAGAAGTGACTGATATTCCAAACAGGCATCAATCACCTTGCATGGGGAACCAAAATCTCCCTAGCCCACTCCCCTTCCTGGAGGTATCCTTATCTGTTCCACGTATCCTTCCTCTGTGACATGCTTCCCCATTTGATCCCTCTGTAATCAGTAACACCTAGGGATTATACTTGGAATCTTAATGGCTGACCATAATTTTGTCCCACCTCACCTCATGTTCGCCTCTCCTTGTGGTTTTGCTCTGTAAAACTCCCTCAAGAAGTGAGGCTCGCGGGCAACCCACTTTATAAGTCCCCTCCTTTTTCTCTTAAAGAGAAGCTATCTTTCTCTCAATAAATTCTTTTTCCTCTTAACCTCCGTTGTTCCTAGAATTCATTCTTTAATTGCAGAGAACAAGAAATTGGCACGTTGGCTGTCTATTGTGGTGGGGGTTACAATAGCGCCTTTGTATCATTTGGAGGTCCATATATCACGTGGCCTGTATCAAAATGTAACTAAAAGTAATTTTAGCTACATGATTTTTGCCTGGTACATGGGCCCTAACCTCCATATATAAAATGAAATTCTACCACTTACACTGGTCAGTCAGCTAATTTCATTTTTTTCATAACTCCAGTCTTTAACGTCAAATTCAAGCCTATATTCAATTATTTTATTAAGTTACACCTTGCTATACAGGCAGAGCGAGGGTGCTTAATAAGCCTCAAACTATATTTCTCTAATTTATATACATCCTTAGGCCACAAATTAAATATCTACATTACTCACAAAGTGATACATGAAAGTGGGGTGTATTGTTAGGAAATTGTACATGTTACTTTAAACTCCTCCATTTTATACCTGACTTCCGGGTTCTTCCCAACTTAAGTTTCGTTTTCCTCCCCGAGTTGAATTCTTCCCAGAAATGACGCCAACATCTGATAAAGGACTTCTGCAGGACTAAGACCTTATAAGGCAATGTGGCCTGCAATAGGTTAAAAAACAGCTTATTCCCCCTAATTGCAAAACTCCCACCCAAGACCCTATAAATGAGCCAACACTCCTTCCCTTGGGACCCACCTCCCTTTCTTTGCCTCCCGGCCTTTGTGCCTCGCCTGATTCCCTACAATAAAGATCTCCTGCCAGACCTCTCCCTGCGTGAGTGACCTGATTGGGAGGGGGCGCCCGAAGGGGCACGTGCGACCCCTTTCATGTATCACCTTCAAATGAGTAGCTGCCTACTCAGCACTCTTCTGTTTGTTTGTTTGTTTGTTTGAGACAGGATCTCACTATGAAGTTGAGACTGACCTGGAACTCACTACTGTAGCCCAGGCTGGTCTTGAACTCACAGTGATCCTCCTGCCTCAGCCTCCCAAGTGCTGGGATTATAGGCATGCGCCACCATGCCTGGCTCAGCACTCTTCTTTTGGACTTCCTCCTGTTGGAGCTGCCCTGTTTTTTCAGTCAGCTCATGCACCAGCCTAGCATAATCCTGGTGCAGTTTACTTAGTCCTGCAGACTGCCTGAAAAACACTAACTGGATTACGAACCATCCATCACTACAAACACATATAAAGAGCAAATATAATACATTTTATTAATTTTGCTGAGCTAGTAATTCCATTGAATACAAACAAATGCTTCTTTGGTGGAGTATAATTCCCAAGTAATGCTAATGACAATGACACAAATTCTAAATCTGTTATAAAATATCAAGAAAAATGGATAACCACAAACTTGTGAGCATAAATATACAGTGTCACCCTCAAGATGATCTTTTGGAAATCTATTAAAATCAACCAGCCAGAATTCTTACTCTGTGCAAGGACAGTACTAGTCTCTAGGGTACTAGTCCTCAAAGAATGGCCTCAAAACCAACCATGCCTGGGGGCCGGGGATTTAGCTCAGTAGTGCCAGATGCCTCCCGGAGGACCCAAATTCATCCCTACCCCACCCCCAACCCCACCAAAAAGCAAAAACAAAAAACACCAACCACAGCTATTCAGAGGAATGGGTCTCCATTCAGATTCCTGAGCTCCACCTTAGGTCAGGGATCGTAAACATTTTAGGAAACAGGACTTAAGGATATCTTTTAAATTAGCACTCCAGGTGCTACACAGGATAATAAAGTTTGAGAACTATTCTAGTAGGAATAAATGGTTTAAAACTTGTAAATTCAGTCTCACAAGTCTATAGACTTTTCCACTAATGGTAGTATTACATGATTTAATGTAATAAATACATAACATACGTACATAATAGCTTATATAGAGGTAATGCTGAAGAGCAAGAAAATTGTTTTTGAAAGGTAACTTTAGAAGCACATGTAAGAAAAGTCTAAACAACTGCTATAAGCAGGATTTCAATGATTTAAGAAAGTACTGGGCCACTTAATTGAAATGAAAGTGTAAGTATTTGCAAACGTACTTGCTCTCCAGTTGATTTGTGGTGCTGCTGACAGCATCTCTCAGGATCCCGTTTTCCTGCTTCAGGTGAGCTCTCTCTGCCTCCATCTGTTCACAAACTTTCCTGAAACTATTTTACACACATAAGATTTAGAAAACAGAGGCTGGCAGTGCTACACTTTCTAAAAATTTTGTTATGATGGGAATATTAAAAAACATCAGTAGCGTAAAATTTGAATTGCTCTTTTCAAATACATATAAACACACTTAAAGTGCGTTGTTTTTATAGTATTGGGGATTAAACCTGGGGCTTCACACTTGCTACTTACACTTTGGAGATGCTTTTGCCCAGGCTGGCTCTAAATTTATAGAAGGAATCCTGCCTGAGCTTCCTGAGTACCTAGTTTTGTTCTTTTCTTGCCACTGAAGTGGGATAAAATGAATGCAATTACAAGTGCTTTATAATCCTCAAATGCATGAAACTGCCACTACAACTAAGACAGAGAATTGTACTTTGATAAAAATGATGTGCCTTTAGGAGCAACTATGTTTGCAGCCCCAAACCACCTACGACTTGTTTGGTATGAGCAAGTGTCTCCCACAAAGTAACAGGACTGCCTGAGCAGCCAATGAATGAGCTTACACTCTGCTGACCAACTAGGTTAAAGTGCCTTTCTAATAAACTGGGGAAACGACACTGGAGAAGAAAACAGAGCACAGTGTAACTCTGCAACCGACTCTGGGAAATAAGCAGAAACTAATGCCACCACCAGAGTGTGACTGACTTTGAATAGCCTCCACGTCACACCAGTCAAGAACCCAGGCACATATGTGACAGCCAAATAAGAGATGAATTATCTTTCAGGCCCAAGAAAAGCAAATACAAAAGGATATGGTGTTTTGCTTCTGCTATTCCACAATGCGAATTACACAATGAGGCAGAATTTAATTGGTACCGTGAAAAGTTAAGAGACAGCATCTGCAAAATATAAGCCAGACTAGGCAAACTTCTGAGCAGGGTGGTGTGCATCCCCCACCACACACATTGATTTGAAATTCGAGCACAGTGTCGTGGCGTAGGATGAGACTTCAGGAGAAGGAAGCCACGGCATTCTTGCTGGCCACTCTGCATATGTGATGCTGCTGACTGATGCTCCAGCACCGGATTTCCGAATTCCACACCATGGGTGCCAGGGACAGGACACGGTGGGTGTAAGCAACAGTGAGTTCAGTTAAACATTTTATTTGAAAACACAGCTACATTTCAGAACTCTGATTCTTTATTAAGACTCACTTATTTTGAAAATACACCCCTTAACTTCTGTGTTCTGCTTCCACCATGTAAAGTTCAATTAAAACATTAATACAGCTAAACATCACACATGAATCTCTAATAGCTGATGTCACTTTCTGCTCATTTCTTTTAGTCTGGATTCATGAACAAATTATGTTTTAAAGTTATCAATCTTAAAGGCTTATTTGTATCTGTCTGCCTACTGAGGAAAACTCAAAATCTATGAGAAGAACAAAATATATTCCTTTACAGTGAAACCAGCAGCATTTCCCCCACTGATCTGTGCGGTCGGGCAGGAGGAGATTATTAAGGACTCTCTCCCCAAGCCCCCTCATGCTCATGGACAGGGTTTTTAGTCTGTAAGGAACATTGCAAATTATTTCCTAGTGAGAAGATACACTTCTGAAAATAGGAAAGACAACAATTTCAATCCTGAGTCTCAAGTAAACAGCGATTTGCTTCGAGGTGACCTGCGTTGCCAAGTGACACAGTTATTCAGGCAATCATGACTCCACAGGTCGTGAAGGACATGGGCCAACTTCTCTGAGCTAACTAAGAAGCTGCTATGAAATTCTATGTAACCAATTCTGTCAACTCCAACACACAGGTTTAAGTGATTCAGTCACTAAAACCCCTAGCATCTCTAAATTAAAATAAATGCAATTTCAAAAGGTGCCAGAAATTGTGGATCCACACAGTCATGCCATCTTTGATGCTCTGCTGCTGAGCTACTCACACTGTCCCGTGCCCTCTCCCAGATGTGAAATCCCAGAGGGAGAGCGTCACATACAGGAAGGCTGGAAGGACACTCTCAGTGTAGAACTACAGTACTCCAAAATGCCTCATCTTTCACATGAAAAATACGTACTAAACATTTAGCCCCAAATGGCACGGTACCTGTCTTCCACACTGCAGAGGTGGCTGGGCTGGGGGGGGCATCCTCCAGCTGCCTCCAAGGCTAGCACTGTCTCAAAGGAGCAGCTGAGCCCAAAGGCAGGTTCCCCTAGGACCCATGGGTCCATGCCCTCTTCCTTCAGAGAAGGAGAAAACCCATCCTGCTGCACCTGCTCAGGGGAAGGGCTGGGAGAGGAAGAGAAACTCTGCCAAAGTAACGCATCATCTGTGGGTATCATAAACCGTATTTTCCAAACCAAACCAACCCAACTGGGAAAACCATCAACAACCAAAACTGAACGCAGAGAAAGTTTCTGTCTCACGACCAGCCCTGGCTCCTGCCTCAGGCTTCTAGCCCTCACCACAACCCCCAGATAGGAAAACAAGACACATTTCCTGGGCTTGCTCACGACCAAGAACACTTCCTCCCCAGCAGGCCCCAAGTCGAGATCTGTGCGTCTTCCTTAATTAGATCAAAATGACACAAGAACAGACACTGTACATGAGTCTCTACAAACTAAGGACACGTGAGGCACACATTTGTCGTGTAGCAAACAGATGTAGCCTTCAGGAGAAAACCAACTAAGCAAACAAAGCAGACTTCCGTGTTGCACATCCCTGTGCCCCGTCAGCACACCCTGAGCAGTTCTCTGCCACTGGCTTCTTCCCCTCACCACCACCGTCCTCACACGCCCTCCCTCCCAGAGCGGCCACCACCACCAAACTCCTTCCCTTCCTAGGGACAGTGATCCACGCTGCCCCAACCTTTGCTCTTTCTTCTGCAATCTGGCATTTGTGCTCCCTGGAAAGTGCCCGCAACTGCCTGGCCCATCTTCATTCCCTGCTGAGTTTGAAATGTGCTCCTTCCTGGTTCCCAACCAGCCAAGTCCTTTCTGAATCTCCTATGGTCTCTACCGTGCAAGCGTACCTGAGGAGTCCGAGAGGCTGGATGCAACACTGAATACACAGCAATCCACAAGGATAAAACAACTGTTAACTTCATGCACACACGTGGAAGGAGTTAAACTATGATCCCCCTGAGGCCTTCTGTTTCCTGGGAGGTGACAGGAAGTGATGTCCCCCAGGGCTGCAATTCCTGGTCTGTGTAATCATGTGCACCTGGCAGCCTGCCCGGTCACTTTCCAGCTCAGGAAGGGTCTCGCTGGCTCTGGGACTGGGTTGGACACTTGCTGCACAGGCTTGGCCATGGAGCTGCCACCCCAACGTCAGAGCTCATCCTCTAGAGGAGCACAAGAGCACAGCATCAAGCTCAGCTGTCCTCAGACAGCCTTTGCCCATCGCCCCTTCAACTCCAAGTCTTCACCTCCCTGGGGGAACCCGGCCGGCCTGGGCAGCCCCTCCCCCAGGGGACAGGAAGAGAAGAGAGGCAGTGGGGCAGTGGCATTCAGGCCAGGGCTGCAAGTCATGCCCTGCAGGAGGGTTCCGGGGAAACAGCGACGCATCCTAAAATGATATGGTGCAGCACAGCAGCTGTGCAAAGCAAGGCAGTGTAGGGCAGGATGTGAAGAGTCAGAATGGTCAGTACCTTTCAGAGTGGCTCATGCTGCACATGCGACACAGGCCCCAGGTGGCTTTGGATGCATGTTAATGTCCTCAAAAATAGCGTTTCGGTCCTCTTACCCTAACTGGTTTCACTATCTCCCTCTTTGGTGCTGTCTACTGTTTGCCTGCTCCAACACTCCTGCCACAATGTGCTGTGCTGCCCCAAGCCCACAGTGACTCTGGACTGAAACCCCTGCTGATCTCAGGTGTCCTGCCACAGCCTGCAAAGCTACTACCACCACCATCTGGTGCCAACACTGTCGTTCCTCTCGTGGTGTCCCAGGCTGTTTCACTATCTCCCTCTTTGGTGCTGTCTACTGTTTGCCTGCTCCAACACTCCTGCCACAATGTGCTGTGCTGCCCCAAGCCCACAGTGACTCTGGACTGAAACCCCTGCTGATCTCAGGTGTCCTGCCACAGCCTGCAAAGCTACTACCACCACCATCTGGTGCCAACACTGTCGTTCCTCTCGTGGTGTCCCAGGCTGTCTTCCACACTAGATGAGAGTATGACTGAGAGCTGGGAAGTTCCAGAGTCGAATCCGACCCTGCCCAGTTCTCCCTGTACAAATCTGGGATTTCACTTCAGCCCTCCATGAGTCATGCGCCTCCCTCCTCCATAAAATCCCAGTGATCCTGACAGCAGGAAGAGGAAGAGCAGCCCTGGGCACCGAGCACCCTCAGAGAATCACATGGGTCACTATGCTGAAGCTCTGCTGACTGTGCTGGCCACACATGGGGCAGTGCTGTGCCTGGGTGCTGTCACCGAATCAGTCCTCAGCCAGCTGCTCTGGGGCAGAGGCTGGCTCATTTGATCCCTTGACTGTCTCCGTGTTCTGCTCCTGAATGTCCTTCTTGCTGTCACCTGCAGAAGCCCTCAGCGTTGGTCCCGCACCTCTGGTGTCTGCAGTGCCCGCACCACTGTCCTTGGCCCTGAGTGTCTCCAGCATCCGTGCCGTGAACAGATCTGCTCCACAGTGCTGATGGCGCATGGGGAAAAGACTGGCTGAGTTGGAGAGACATCTGAAAGCAGACTGCCTTGGGCTGGGGCGACTGCATCCTGGATGACCGAGGAGGAGGCAGGGAGGCCACAGAGATGTTAGCTATGGGGCTCAGAGCCTAGGCCAGGTCCACTTGGGCTGAGGCATGGCCCTGGTCCTCAGGACTCAGCTGTGCTGACTTCTGGGCCAGGATGCTCTGTGGCTGGCACTGGGATGATGTAGAGATGCCGCCACACACCTCTCTGGTGACTGGGCTGGGGTGGCTCCCATCGTGCAATCAGCAGGCGGAGGATCAGTGTGGCCTCTATGTACTCCTGGGCTGCTCACAGCATGGCCGAGTCTAGGCTTCTACATGGTGGCCAGGGGAACAGCAGTGTCCCAGTCCTCAGAACAGACAGGGCTGCCTCTCTTCACCTGGGCTCACCGTCCTGCCAGCAACGCCTCTGCGGTTCCTTGGTGGAAACGCTCACACAGGGACACGTGAGGAGGTGAGCAGAGAGAAGCTCCGTACCACGGAGGACGGCGGGATAAATCACGGCTCTGCTCAACTAACCCCACCCTCACCCAGCCCCACATCTATCTGCACCCAGTCAGGAGGCTGTGGGCTGAGGGCTCCAAGGTGCTGGGTACTCCCTGGTCTTAGGGCAGCCTCCCTCCGGCAATGGCACACAAGTCAGGGAGACCCCTCCTGCTGCTCCTCCGTCTTCCTCCCACCGAATCCTAGCTCTTGACTCAAGCACAGCCTTCCGTGCTGTGCACCCTCCTCCCTCCCCAGGAAACACAGGTGTCCTGGACACCCTTTCCCTCTAGCTCCCTAGACGGGGCTGCAGGGTGATTCACTGTGGCTTCCTCCCATGTGGCTGGTCTGCCATGGGGAGGACGTCCACGTCCACGGAGCTGCCCTCATGGCTCTGTACTAAGATGACAAGGACACATATGAAATGGACACTGAAATACACCAGGCATTATTGGCTTTGGTCACCACCACCCTACGCTACAGTAGACCCGACAGCAAGTCCTCATGTCCATCTGAGACTCTTCCCTCTGGCCACGACTCCTCCATCCCTCTCCCCTCTCCGCCTCACTCAAGTTCTACCCTGACCATGAGAGGTGACATCATCAGGATACAGCTCACTCAGAAAGCACCCCGACCACCCAGCCTCCTTGAGGGTTGAGGGCTGTATGGGACTCTGATGGGTGCTACCTATGTTGGGGCCACCTTGTGTCAGCGGTGCCCACAGGGTGGCAGGTAGCAGCAGCAGCACAGGGCCCGTAGGCAGCCTGTGATGCTCCTCTTGAGAGCCTTCCAGTATCGACACCCACTGTTGGCAGGGGCAGAGGTGGTTCCGGAGCTACAGCGGGGAGCTCCATGGCCTGGCTGGCAGGACAATGGGCATGACAGGGACAGGCTGGGAGGACAGGCTTGGAGTGGCAGGGCCAGGCTTGGGATACAGGCTAGGAGTTGGGGTCCTCTGGATGGTCATGAGTGGCTGGGAGCCTCTGCTACCCTCTTCTCCTCGGAGCTCCAGTCCGGGGAATAAGCAGCCAGTGCAGGGGACAGGCTCGCTGGCCCTCCTCCAGGGGATGTGAGCTGAGGGTGCAGGACTTGTCAGGCCCCATAATGTTTTCTCTGCAGCCTTATGCACTGGCTTCACCGGGTTTCTGAAGCCCAGCCCCTGGAAGGCCTGGCTCTGCAGCAACAGGAAGGTTGCCATCTCATGATTATACTCCTTCCTCCTCAGGGTGTCCATCACCACTAACGGGTCAAAACCCATCCCGGCCATACGGCTGAGGATTGCCCTCTTTGTGGGCACAGCGAGCAGCTCTGGAGGACTGGGGGGCTGGACACCCCGGATCCACCGGTGCTTCAGCACCTTCTGCACCGTTGGCTGCATCATGGGGTTGTGGTTTAGGATTTTGTTGATGAGATTTTTGGCATTGTTGGAGACGAAGTTGGGGTAAGAGACCATCCCATGAAGGATATTATTGATTATCTGGGATTTACCCCCATGAAAGAGATGATCCCCAGTAACCATCTCATATAATATTACGCCCAGGGCCCAGACATCCATGGGAGGACCTTCATACCACTGGCAGGAGATTGTTTCTGGGGCACAGAATGCCAGCGTGCCACCAACCACACTCACCTCCTGCCCAGGGAGGAACTGGATCCCCATCGCAAAATCACAAACTTTAGCACAGCCTTGGGCATCGATCAAAACATTTTGGGGATTGAGGTCCCCATGTACAATGCCACAATCGTGGCAGTAATCCACCGCTCCCGAGATGTCTTGGGAAATCCTCTGGGCATCCTTCTCCCGCAGCCTGTTCTTTTCGCTCCTGCGGATCTCCTTCCGCAGGGCGACTCCCATGACATATTCTAGGACCAGGTATACTTTGTCCTTAGTCTCTGTAACCTCCAGCAACTGTGTGGTGTTAGGGTGTTGAAGGTCCTTCAATAGTCCCACCTCCGACACAATGCTGGCCGCTCGCACCCCTGCCTTTGTTAGCTCCTTCATGGCCACCTGCATTCCTGTGCCATGAGGTTGCGCCAAGTACACCTTGCCAAATCCATCTTGGGTGATTAAACGCCACACATAATAGTGTTCCTGGGGTCTGTACCTGTTCGAGCTGGTCATGAGGCCAAGCCAGGATGTTTCCTCACTACACTCACCAGGAACACTGCTTGGCATAGTGTAATGACATCCTACACTCCCCATAGCACCAAATCAATGACCAAATCTCCGACAACAATCTCCATCCAACAGTCTCCATCCACCCACAACAGACCCACCTGAGCCACAGCCTTATATAGCTAACTGCTGTGACCTCACACAGGCTCCTGTGATGTCACAGAACCAACGGGCCAACGCAGAGCTGGCCACACCCACCAGGGCCACACTCATGACCATTAGGACCTTTTGTTTGTAACAGAAAAGGTTACAAATTTCTTGCTTGTGTGGGTTGCAGAGATTCACGCACAAGTGTTTAGATATGAAAAGCAATCCACAGGATTCTCCAATATCCTTTTCCTTTCTGCTATACCTTTTGTTTTAGAGCTCTCATGGGGTCTACACTCAACATATCCAATTTCTTTTGCTTTAAATTCTTGCTGGTTTCATAGTGATGCTACAACTTCATTGACATTAGAGTAAATGTAATGCTCTGCTTAGGAAACATGTGGTGGCGCGTTAATGCCCGTGAAGCTGACAGGAAGACACCTATCATAATCATTTCCCCCCAAAGACAATTGATACAGAAGTGCTATACAATCACACAGGCCCTGGCCTTGTCTCCATTTTCTTTTCCCACAAAATGTTTTGTTTTGGGAATGTAACTTTGTGCTGCTGGGCTCCTACCCAAACCAATGTGTCAAAATGGTTTGTGGCTGTTTGAACTTTGTGACCTTTCAGGGATGTTCTGTTAAGCTCTGTCCCCTCACAAGAAGGTTCTGTTCAGCTCCCCCCCCACCCCAGGAACTTTCTCTAACTCCGCCCCCCTGCTTCCAGAAAGTTCTTGAACTCCACCTCCCCCACCACAGCCCCACTTAATTGAGCATGCTTACCTACCCTGCAGCTCCCTATAGAGTGAGGCTCTCATTCCTGGTAGAGTGCTCAGAATCCTAAGCCCACTGGGACTTGCCAGTGAATAAAGGCTTTTTCCCACCTCTTCCACTTACTAGCAAATTCCCAAACCTTCAAATTATGAGAGCTATGATCCAGAGCTGCCACACTGAGCTGTAAGCTCAGCAGTGCCTCACAGCTGGGGCACTTGGCTGCGACAGTGAGCTGTAAAATTCAGCTATGCCACTGACATGAGCCATGAATCTGTTTAATGACAATGCAGTGTCTCATTTCTGCAAAATCCTCAAAGGGAGGCAAAAGCAAGTGTCACTGGACAGATTCCTTGGTAAAGTGGCACAAATAGAAAAAGATTCCGTGGAGCCAGTAGACAGCAGTGATTGTTTTAGTGCCAGTGAAAGCATCCTGTACAACAGCCTTCCTCCCTCTTGACTCCCTCACACAAGCCACCAGGTTTTAAAGGTAAGTGCAGGTCAGTGTGTTTATTTTTATTATTTATTATT